AAATCTCTGAAACCTTTTCTGAAAATAGATAGGAAGAGAATGATAAGAGATTGTTATTTGGTGTTTTATTTGGAGAAGAGACTGAAGACTGAGTTATTAAAAAAGAAGAGAAAGGAATTTAAAGTGGACTTAAAAGATCAAAGTTAAATTGTCCATGTTTTGACCTGGATTGTTAATACTGAACTTTCTTTCTCTGACCAGGACTGTAAGATGATGATTTATACCTGTAAAAGTGATCTAATTGGTTTAGTTTAAAACACATATGTGATTATTATTGGTCTTTTGTATGCTTAAGGGGAGAGATCTTTTAGGTTTCATTTCTAAGAAAAAACTTAGAAGCTAAAATGCAAAATAGACCTACAGTGGTACCTCGGTTCACGAACGCTTCTGTTCATGACCAATTCGGGTCACGAACAGCACCGTGGTACCTCGGTTCACGAACGCTTCTGTTCATGACCAATTCGGGTCACGAACAGCACCGTGGTACCTCGGTTCACGAACGCTTCTGTTCATGACCAATTCGGGTCACGAACAGCACCGTGGTACCTCGGTTCACGAACGCTTCTGTTCATGACCAATTCGGGTCACGAACAGCACCTCTCTCTCTTCATAGTGTACTGTACTGTACTTTGTGTCATATTTTTGTGGTTTTAAAAAAAACATATGGTTCAGAACGGATTCACCGTATTTACATTGAACCTTATGGGAAAATTTGATTCGGGTCACGACCAAAATCGGTTGGCGACCAAATTCGTAGGGGTCAGAACGGATTAACCATATTTACATTGAACCTTATGGGAAAATTTGATTCGGGTCACGACCAAAATCGGTTGGCGACCAAATTCGTAGGGGTCAGAACGGATTAACCATATTTACATTGAACCTTATGGGAAAATTTGATTCGGGTCACGACCAAAATCGGTTGGCGACCAAATTCGTAGGGGTCAGAACGGATTAACCATATTTACATTGAACCTTATGGGAAAATTTGATTCGGGTCGCGACCAATTTGGGTCATGACCACAGTCGCGGAACGAATTAAGTTCGTGACCCGAGGTACCACTGTATTTGTTTAAGCTTAAAATATATAGTTTATTATTACTGGCGCTCTTAATGCTTTTGTTGATTAGATTGATTGTTGAATATTTTTTATAATTCAGTTATTGTTTAGGGATGAGAAAAGGGATGAAGAGGGCCATTTTTAGTAATATTAGAGAAAGTGTTAAATTACTGTTAATACATATACTTGTTTGGAGGGAGGGGGAAGTCAACTTTTATATTTCTTTCTCTTCTCTCTTTCTTTCTTTTTGTTTGTAGGTTTTTTAGTTTTGTATTAGTTTTTATATATACAATATAAACTTTAATATAAATATTTTTAAAAAAGAAAAAATGGAACTAAAATTAAATACTGTATAATGACAAATTAATGACAACAAGTACAACAACCAGCCTTAGAATTAACAATGACGATACTGAAGTGATAGATAGCTTCTGCCTTTTAGGATCAACCATCGACAGTAAAGGAACAAGCAGTCAAGAAATACGCCGCAGACTAGCACTTGGAAGAGCAGCCATGAAGGCCTTGGAAAAGATATTCAGATGCCATGATGTGACTATACCTACAAAGATTATAATAGTGCCAGCAATGGTATCCCCTATGATACTCTATGAAGCAAAAGTTGGACTTTGAAGAAGCAGGATAGAAAGAGTATTGACGCTTTTGAACTTTGGTGCTGGAGAAGACTCCTGAGAATACTGTGGACAGCCAATAAAATGAACAAATGGATAATTGAACAAATCAACCCAGAGTTGTCACTTGAGGCACAAATGACCAGGCTCAAATTATTCTACTTCAGACACATTATGTAAAGACCTAGCTCTCTGGAGAAGACTCTAGTGTTGGGAAAGGTGGAAGGAAAGAGAAGAAGAGGACGACCAGCAGCAACATGGATAGACTCAATGACAATGGCAATGGATGCACTATTAAAAGACCTGAAGGACCAGATTAGTGACAGATTGTCATGGAGAAAATCTATCTATAGTTTGTGGTTGCTAGGAGTCAACATGAACTTAATGGCACATAATCAATCAATCAATCTCCCCGCACAGGAAAGCAGGTATGGAGAACTCCAAAGCAATCAAAAAGTGATCTGTCAATCAAAAGGGACAAATAGTACCTCCCCCCAACTCTAGATCACATTGCCACTACTCTGAAACAAAAACCAGATCCAGCAGGTGAATGAGGCCCTCAATAATTTGGATCAGGTCCCTGTTGCCATGGTGGCCATAACTTCCAAATCACTTCAGACTCTGTTCCAAGGGAAGGCAAGCTGAAGTCTTCTAGTACCATGTCTGGGAAATTCCACCACCAACCCAGTCACACAGTCTAGCAACTCAAACAGGGAAGCAGTTGAGAGGCCAGTACAGTAGCAGTAGTTCCAGAGTCTAACTTTACAAACAAGGACTCTGAAAGCCACAACAGTCTCCCAGATGACAATAGCCTCTTCCTCATCCCTGCCCTGGTGTGGCTGATGTGACATCTACTATGTATGGGCTCCCAATTGCTAGGGTCAGGTCCATTATTGCTGTGGTGGACATGAACTCTGGAGCTGCCCCCTAGCTCAAAGCCATTCAGGCAAAGATTAAAATCCCCCAGGACAATAAGCCTTGGGGATTCCATCATCAGATTCTAGCAAATGTTGCTTGATATAACCTGGTGCTGTGCCATGTAGGACTTTAAAGGTTAAAAACAGCACTTTGAGCTGACCCCCGAAGCCTAATGGTAATCAATGTGGTAACTTTAAGATGAGCTTTATTTTTGATTGGCAGGGTTGTTCCACTAGTGAATCTCCCTGACAGCACTTTGGACCAGTGCAGTTTTCAGGTCACCTCCAAAGGCAGCCCCATGTAAAGTGTGTTACAGTAGTCCCTACCACCTTCTTAACTGCACAGTGATCAAGTGTGTTTATTTTTGAGTTATTTCAAAGATGTAAAACTGTTATTGAACTATACCATATTTATTTTTTTTGCTGGGCATAATCAGCACATTCTGTGATATACAATCCCATTGGATATACATTGTATTTAATAGTAGGTTGTGCTGAATATTAAGTATATCAGAAACACTATGCTGCATTCTATTTCCTACAAGGGTCAACTAGATGCCTGTGGGAAGCCTGCAAACTGGGTGAGGTTAGAAGAACCTACCTTATGTTCTTCAAAAATATTGAGAGGCCTGCTGCCCTGAGACTGAAGATTCGAGATCCTGCATGGCAGGCATCAATAGACTTATTCTCTATGAATTTGTTTAATCCCCACTGAAAGTTAGACAGGTTCATGGCCATTAAAGCATCTTGTAATAGAGAATGCTACAGTTTCTCCACTGAGTGAATTTCTATTTATCTGTCCCACCTCAGTTTAACTGCTGAGCCTGGGTACACAATTATGGGAGAAAGAAGTTTCCCTATCTGCTTTTTTAAACTATGCATAATTTTATACCTTTTTATTATATTCCAATTTGTTTGCCCTTTTTTTTTAAGTGAAAGGTCCTCAATCTGTGCTACCTTTCTTTAAAGGGGTCTTGCTGTAACCCTTTTATCATTCTGGTTGCCACGTTCTATTCAAGGCAGAGTGACCAGAACTGTCACCATTCTGTGATAAAACCTCAATTGTATAATCGATTGTATAAAGGCATATGCAAAATTACCCGAAATTCTTATTTATACAAGATTCATTGAGAAGATGTTCATGTCCTGAAACAAAGAGGACTTTCACATTCTCAAACTTTCAATCTTAATCAGATGCAAAAGTCGACTCACTCTTAAATGTTATCATCCCTCTTCTGCCCTAGCAATTTATAGCGTCACACAGCGTATGCTGTGGCCCTATATGCCTGTCTTGTTGGGCGAAAATATTTCCAAAGCGATGGCGCGGGGTGTCCGGTATTCTATAAATTGCCAGCATGGTAACGTTCAGTAGTGAACGAGTAAAGGCCCCTTCGGTGGTTCAGCACTGGTCCTCTCCTCCTGGGGCAGAGAAGGTACAGCGTCTGGCTTTATGCACCTGGGGCACAGAGGGCTGCTGTTCGCTTCCCAGGATCAGTTCCCCACTGAAGCGCCTCTGAGCGAACGAGCAGCAGCGGCGCGCATCCAGCTCCTTCAACTCCTACAGAGGCGCGTGTTGATGCTGTTGCAGGAACACCCGTCCCGCTCCATACTGGGGCCTCCCTGCTAGGAAAATAAAGGCACGCCCCTGCACCTAAGGAAACCATCTGGTCGCGAGCGTGGCGTGCAAGAAAGGTCAGCACGGCCACAAGTGAGCGCTGCGGGGGAGCGGGAGAAGAGCCTCCCGCTGCCGCC